CATATCCCTCATATGTTTTTTCTAGTATTGTCTCTCATATTTTCATAATCATACTATTCATTTGAAACATCAAATGCCTTGTAACAATCCATTGTTCTGTGACAATGCCCTGTAACAATCCATTGTTTTGTAACAATGCCCTGTAACAATCCATTGTTTTGTAAAAATGCCCTGTAACAATCACTGGACAATTATAGTAACAGAGAATAATAGAGTTATATTATATTATTTAGCAAGCTGTTTAAAATTAGCCCTTAAGTGAAATTAGGTCTATTTAAATTAATTAAACTCAGTTTAAGCATATTTAGCGCTCTGTCAATTGAACTTATCTCCTGTAGACTTCCAAACAGCTTTTTTCCCCAGAGCTGTGATGCTCATTAACCACAGAAGACACCTTGCACTGTAAACTAAACCTAACAAACCTACTTTACTGTGAACCATAACTCTATTGTTCCACTCTGTAACATAATGCATGTTTGTACAACTGTACAAAATGTTCAGATTCTGTAACATACTGTAAATTATAGATGATTTTATATTTCCCTAGAGCTTGCACATATGTGCATTTCACATATTCATTTATTTTGGCTTTCTTATCTCATACTTTCTCTCTTACTGTTCTTATTTCTTATTTATTTTATTTCATACTTGTTAATAGTTGATGCTTGGTTTAGTATCATGTATACTAATCAGTCAAAGCATTAAAACCACTTCCTTGTATCTACTTTCTTTGCCATTTTATCAGCTCCACTTACCATATAGGTGCGCATTGTAGTTCTACAATTACAGACTGTAGTCCATCTGTTTCTCTGCATACTTTGTTGGCCCCCTTTTACCCTGTTCTTCAGTGGACACGACTCCTACAGGTATTATTTGGGTGGTGGATCATTCTTAGCTCTGCAGTGATACTAAAGTGGTGGAGGTGTGTTAGTGTGTACTGTGCTGATATGAGTGGATCAGACACAGCAGTGCTTTTAATGTTATGGCTGATCAGTGTATGTGTGCACTTATCAAGAAAATACCTTGAATAAGTAATATGGTTGATGAAAATGATTCTGATTCTCTTTTCCACCATGGACGGGAAATTATCACCTTTCAATCACTGGCATAAGGTCACTTCGCAATCATCAGTGAGATCCAATTATATGCTTTATTGTCCAGCCTCACAAAGATGATGATGTGCATTTTCTTGATCTTTTCATTTCTGGACACATCAATTATACATCCACCACACATCAATTTTACCTCTACTCTGACCCACCCCGTAGCCACCAGCAGAGCTTGGTCGCACTGTTCTGAAGATTAATCCGGCTGCTATGCCCAGCAATTTCATCTAGCTGGTTTTGACAGCATGCAACCCAGTGCAGCCCCCCTAATGTTTAAAACATCAGGCTTGTATTGATAGGCTGTGAGTTATGTGTCTCGGGAGGTCCTTATGATTTACACTGACCTGCAATGCAGGTACACCGGTGACAGTGAAGAATGAGCAACTACTGTAGCAGAATATTTCCTTTTTTTTTCCCTCTGATGTTATGTTGTGAGCTTGTATTTATATTGTAAGCTTGTAGTATTTATCCCATTTTGATCTAAATGTACAGATTTTGTGGCTACTGTATTCATAGCAAGCTACAAGAAATGCTCAGAAAATGTAATAGCAGTAAGCCCGCTCGAAAATGATGTGTTAATTAATGCTTAGGAGTCACTGTTATTACCAATTATCAAAGCATGGCATGATTTGATATTATTTCTTTCTTATGTATTGTTGATTGAAACAAGCTGAGAAATTCTGTCAGTCCTTTAAACTGATACCACATTTGTGTATGTAAATAGAAGAGCAGATATTTTATTATAATTTGAATTGATGCAGTTATTGCTGCTGTCTCGTTTTTGTTATTATATATATATATATACACATCCTTTACGTTTTTGACATGCTTTTGTCATTTGTCAAAAAAAATTGATGCTGCAGCTGTCAATTGAGAATGCAAATCAAATGTAAATTACAATGTCATTTATCTGTGTAACTATGTAATTAGTATGCAATTACATAATAATTATCTGTTATAACATTATGTCTGCCCACAAGAACACCCAGTATGTGTTATTAGGGCACATCTTAGCATTAAAAACCTGAAAATACTCACTGTGTTAAACTGGATAACACCCTGGCTGTGTTGACCTATGGTCCTATTCAAGTCAGGATACTTTTGACTAGAGGACTTCCCATAATGTAATTTGTAAGGCATTTGAGTGGCCCACAAAGTATCTACATAATTTCTCCAAATTATTACGATGTTTATTTTGCAGCAAGATTAAAACTAAATGGATCTAAACAAATTCAAAACAATAACTTCCAGCTAACACCAAAATCTAGTAACAGTAGGTTAATAAATTAGGCTCATTCAGCTTACCAAATGCCGCCCAACAGGGCAGAAGTCCCATTGCCTCAGGAGAGTTACTTTCAAGATATTTCATTTTCTTTTTCTTTCTAATTAGGCCATCACCAGAAATGCTGTGGATTACAGTAGTCCTGTTTTGAACTTGAGGATAAAGGGGCTGTGCCATTTTTGCAGCTTCCTTTGTCTCACTCTCGCCAAAACTGAGGAGGTGCCATGGTCTACTGCCAGGCTATGTTATTACATTACTATGAGATCCATTCAGACAGGACTGCTTCTACTGAGGGAGCTCTGTGGTCAGCAAATTATAGAGAATAATTCACTCAAAAATGTTATTTAGCAGAGTCGTACTGGATTCAAATCACAGATTTTTGATGATATTACCTTTCCAGGAAAAAAATAATCTAGCTTTAGAAGTAATAAAAAACTCCCAGGTCGCATCATGTTCAAATTAAGATTGGACCAAGCAAATCAAATTAGGAGGTGGTCAGAGATGTATATGCTGATGTACTTTTTGTATGGGAAAAGTACAATCTGGTCTCAAACTGGAAATGCATTTTAGTGAAAAGTAGTAGCCGAAGTTTGAGTAGCTAGTGTTTGTATGTAACAATCTGGAACTAATAGTAGACTTACTTTCATGCAACATCTTTTCAGTGCGCAAGAGTGGTAGGTTCCTTGTAGCATATATGTAGCATTATTTGTATTTTTACTGCTAAATAACCTGATAACCTGATGTATGTAGGACAAGACGTATCTGCCTTGGAAACATTTAGTTTACTACAAGGTCCGATAGAGGCAGTTTTCAAAAACGCCATTCATTTTTGTCTTGAACTTGAGCTCCTAATATGGGTATGATGCCGAAAACAGAATGATGCACAACTCCAGAGGTCTATTCTGAGTTGTTTTTAGTGCATTTGTTTTGCAACTGTATAAGTCAGTACAGAGAGCGATCAGTGTTTACTCCCTTCAGAACTCATCAAACTCATTTGTGGTTGTATTGACCTGTGGTGCATGTGCGCAAGATAGAATTTGACTGATAGAGAAGACCTGGGTCACTCTTTGACCTTTTGACCCTTTCATGTTAATTCCCAGTCTTGCTTGTGTTGGGTCAGCGAATGTCCAGACTTGGAAACAATTGCTGTGTTTCAGCAAGATGCTGCTTTGGCACTAGCTCAGCCAGTGCCACAGGGAATGAACACACGGTGCTCATGATCGGCCTTGTGCCCCAGGCAGCCCCCGGGTGACCTATACAACTAACACTCATCTCTATACTGTCTTTTCTTCTGTCTTTTTCACACCCTTCCTCTCTCCTTTCTCTGTCACTGCAGTAGTCATGTTCAGTCTAACTGCTTAATCTGAAATGTAAACCCAATTTGTTGTTTACTAACATCAACATCAAAAGTACAGTTGCAAAGTCAAAGAGCACTATTAATTTATTTAATTTCCAGTCAAAACAGCAATTAAGTACAAGTTCATTCATTTTTAGTGCCAGGAACAAAGCAGGAAACATATATTTAACAGAACAATACATAGAAACATCCAACCTTTACTTTTATAATATCTTCCATTCTTTTCAGGATACTTGCTTTCAGATTTTCAGAAATCTGCTAGGATATTTTTCCACACCTCCAAAGTTCAGTCGTAGAAGTTGGCTGCATTTTCTGCTTCTTGTGATCCAAGTCAGCCCAAAGACAAATTGTGATGTTGGAGTCTGGACTCTGGGGCAGTCAGTCCATTGTTCTGACAACACTATCATCTGCTTTTGGCAAATTCTCTTCCTTTTTGTTTACTTACTTGTTTACTTTTTTTAGGTAACAACTTCTTGACAGTGACACAAGGATGATTAGAATTTTTTTTTTACAATCTCAAACAAAAGAGAAGCTTGATTTTCTCTGACCTCTCAAAGAGGAAAGCTTTCTGTACTATTGAACTGATTGGACAGTTGTGGTGGTCTACCAGAGTATTAGAAGTCCCATTTCTTTTACAGCCTTTAATTTTTTGAACTCTGGTTTAAGAAACTTCTTAAACTTTCCCTTTCCTTATACAAGTGGATTATCTTATATCTAATCTCCTCATGAATATTTATTGAAAATGTTTGTACTTCAAGTCTAAACAAACAGAAAAAAACATGAAAGTGCAGAATCTTTCAATCAAATGTAAATGAAATTAACTACATTACTATTATGTAATTAAATTGAAATAGAACAAAAAGACAATGATAGACTTCTCAGGATTTGAAAGTAACTTCTGTCAAATGATGTTTACCAAGCAGTGGTTATATATTATCCAGAAACGTAACAGCTATATATTTAATGATGACATTTTATCCTCTACAATTTTATCCTATACAATTTTGTATTAATCTACACAGCATACACAAAATATGTTAAGCTAAAGCAATATCTCAATCTACACAAATATATCAAAACATATTAAGCTCAGACATCTTAAAAGAATCAAGGTTTCTTCCATAAACCATCTGACTGAACTCTACAGGGTTTTACGATGAGCAATATATCATAGTAATAACCCCACTCTCTCCAAAACAAGAAAAACTCTTCATCTTACCCTTTTATTTATTTCACATTTGTATTTCTGTTCCAGGACCTTGTCACCCGAACCCATGCCACAATGGAGGAATGTGCGAAATCAGTGAGACCTACCGAGGCGACACCTTCATCGGCTATGTCTGCAAGTGTGCACCCGGCTTCAACGGCATCCACTGCCAACACAGTAAGAGCAATGAGCTTTTAATGAAAATTCGCAGCAGTGTAGCTAATAACTCACCGTGTGAACATCCAGTGCCTATTTAGTTCTGGCAAAAAAAGTAAAATTTTAACAGACATGTGAATACTCAACTATTCTTCACTGTAGTTCTTGTTTTGTGCAACAAGACAGATGTTTCAACTTGACTGATTTTATTCCTGGCAATCCATCACACATATGGTGCAACTCACCAAGTTCAAGTGTTCTGATCTTTCCTACCTGCTACTAACGTGCTTATCCAACATTGATACCTCTGATCCAGTTAACTGAGAACTTGTGAAGAAGTTAATAAGCTTGAGCAGGTGTGGCAGATTGTGATTGAGTCCACTGGAAGGTAGATCTCCAGGAGCAAGGTTGGCGACCACTGTTCTGTGGCGTCGCTCCATAGAACCATTTTTGCACTTTTATTTTTTAAGTATTTGAATGTTTGAACGAACAACTAAGCATGCATATGCTTGTATACTAGTTTATGATTAAAGATAATTAAAGCTCAGGCATAGTTGTCTCCAATAAGGAATTCTGAGAAGTCCAAGCACCCTGCTGATTTTATTTTATTGCAGCTTCTCGCTGCTTCTTCTTTTGTTCTTATTTTCTTATATACTAAGTACTTACTTAAAACCCGCTTGGCCGGCTAGGTTCATATTACATAGCTAAAACTCCATGCCTTTGCTGAGCAAAAGCGAAATGTAATTGATGCAGTCTGGTGGCTACCCCACTGCATGGAAACCATTTGGTCTGGAGCGCACTGGGATGCCACAGTGCTTGGCAAAACATATTCCTGTGTGTCATACTTTGATGAATAACTAGCTTTATCGCTGCAACAGGTCTGGTCTGTGGAACTGGGGAATATAGCAGCTTCAGAGAGAAGGGAATTAGAGTCCTCTGTCTTTTCCGTAATGGTGTAGTCTAAATCCATTCGAGGGGTTTTACCACCAGCTTGACATTCAATCATCGCATCTAACTGGGTAGTTTGTTCTCTTTGAAAGTTCCTCTCGTTCCAGCATCTCCGTAAAGGATGCTTTTGTCAGCAGGTGGAATGGTATCGCCGCAGTGTTTGTCAGGTAGGAATTAGTCAAAGTGCTGAAATCGCTCTCTTTGTGAAGTGCTCTTTAAAAAAAAAAAAGATGCGTGTCAAGCACTTTGTGCAAGCGCTGCACATGACTTAGTGCTATTATGGAGTTACAGTGTGTTGATGTATATCAGTGTGTGTGAGTGTAGCAATGTATTTAGCTCTGCGACCATATTTCCCCACAGTACTGGATTTTTTATAGCAGGTTTTAATGCTGCATTCATTTGGAAAAGTAAAAGAGTCAAAAGATTACAAGATTAAGCTACTATTTTGCTCCTGTTTTTCTGGCTTACCAGGATTGTTGTCAGTACAAAAAAGGTGACACTTTATTTTGAGTGGTCCTTTAAGATGAAACAAACACTCAACCAACTCTCAGTAACATGTCAAAAACATATGGTTTTAAGGGTTAGGGTAAGGTTTTGGGTTGAGGTTATGGTTAGGGTTAGGATTAGGGCCAGGGTTAGGGTTTTGGGTAAGGTTGGGTAAGGTTAGGTTTTGCATAATGAAAGTAACATATTAACAATACATCTACTAAATGTAATGTATCACAGGACAGCTTCAAGATATTTTCTTCAGTGTATTCAGATGCTTCACTACTGCTACTTCACTGATATGTTGTTGATGTGTTACTAATAATCTCTTAAAAGTTTATTAATCATCTACAAAGAATTACTCCAAATAGTATTACCCAAAAAATGGTATAATACATATTACATGGACCACTTATTATTATTACATATGCATACTTACACATATAGTAAAAGTCAGAGACTACCCTTCATTTATTTAACCTGCAAATAAGTGTAATAGCAAATCTATTGGTGTTTAATATGTAACACTTTTTACTTTCCCACACACTACAGAGCTCCATCCATCCAAAATTCAAACCAACAAGTTCTACACAATAGCTACCCAAACACACCATAGCTGCCTTGCAAATTTCGTTCTAATGTGCATCTAAATGGCTAAAAGAGATATTTCTGAGGAGAGTACACATAAGATAGTCCACATGCATAAGAAGGGGAAAGTCAAAGAAAATTAAGTGAACAAAGGAGTTTCCAAAACTGAAGTTTAAAAATTATTAAAAGATGCTAAGGAAATGGGACTCCTCACAACCGTGCAAGACCGGGTAGACCACAACACTCTCTCCTTCTGATAAACAGCACTTAAAGCTTTCATCTTTGAGAGAGAGGAGAAAATCAAGCTCTGCTCTTGCTTCAGATCTGAAAATGTTTCTGTCCATCCTTCCACTGTGAGAAGACAACTCAACGCTATGAGTCTGACAGAATGTGTAAGGTCATGGACTGATTAATTTACACTATTATTTTGGATTTCAGCTGAAAGAAGCAAAAAATGCAACCAACTTCTAAGACTGAACTTTAAAGGTATGGAAAAATATCCCTGCAGATTTCTTAAAACTGACATCAAGTCTCCTGAAAAATGAAACTCAGTACTATATATATATATATATATATATATATATATATATATATATATATATATATATGTGTGTGTGTGTGTGTGTGTGTATGCATGTGTGAACAGTTTAATTACAGAGTAGAATCACAGAATGCTTTGATAAATTGTTTTGCTCTCATGGTTAATTTCATACAGTTAGTATGAGCTCAGTGTGTGGCTTATATTGCCTTTTTATTGTGGCTAATAAACAGCATTGCAGACCTCATACTGCCCCAGCTCAGCGTTATTACCCATTATTGACAAAATGTCGCCTTACATGGGCCAGTTTTAAGAACATATTAAGCGAGGCAAATCAAGTTCATGTTCACACCACTGAAAATAAATAAATAAATAGAAAGAAAAATGGAGGAGAATAACAGCCATTCGCTGTGACTGTTCTTTCCTTCCCTTCAAGCGTTTTATTAGAGGCGGGCTGCTAGGAGTGACGCTCCGATGACTCCATTTTGAGAGTTTTCTTCTGAACTTGGCTGCCGATCATACCACATGTGGCCTGTGTTGCATTTTCTTTGTGTTTTGCAAGATGTTTGGCTTAATCTGAACCAAACTTATGGTGTTCTCACATGAGGTTCAGAGAGGAGATTGCAAAAAAGCAAGCATAGGATATAGGCAGGCTTTTTAGGCTTGAAAGCTCAAAAGCTGCTGCAGTTGTCAGACAGAGGCAATTCTGAGACACCGTATTTCATTGAAAAAGAAAATATACCATCCATTGCAATGAGTGGGAACTCCTCATGACATCGTTGTTTTACAGCTTGCTCTCACACTATACACCGTCCATTAAAGTGAAAGAGAATCTGCTTGAGAAAACCAGGCTGTCTGTTTTGATGTTTTTGTTCTATTTGATGGATTGTTTTGGATTTAATTCTTGCCTGGTTCTTATTTATTTTAGGAATCATTTTTAGGGACTGTGAATATTGATTCTGTTTGTTTACTGCAGAGCAGGATTGCTGCCTTTCTGGCCTTTACGTGAGCATACTTTAAAAAATCTCACTTGAAGAAACTGATCTTACGCAATGCGTCAGATCGCATCAGAAAGATGGACTATTTTTCTTGTTTTCCTCAAGAACAGAGTGTTTCTTGAGAAAACGTGAACTTTCATACTTCTGACAGACTCCTGTCAAATCCCCCAGTGCGAGCCTTTCATTTCTCACCCCCTCAGGTCAGCGTCGGAATGAGGCGCTTTTTTTAACCGAGGCCCAAAACCTGCTATTACTTCCTATTAAGCTACAGCCATTTGTTGGGGTGAATGACTGATTTAACGCAGCGTGAACGGCTGGAACGGCTGCCAATTTGGCTTTTTGCTCATTAAAGTAAGATTGAGGTGGGGGGGAAAGGGGAAAAAAGAAGTTGCTAAATATCTTAAAGTCACCAAATAACAAAATCTTGCGTCTGGGTAATTTCTGCAATTAAATGATAAATGAAATGTGATAATTGTTCTCTAAGAATGACAGCTTAGCAGCCTTTGTTGTGGGCCATGTGTAGGCTTTTTAATTGCCAATGAGTTTAATGGGGAAAGATAAAATTGAGTTAGTGGGGGATTTTATCAGGGAATAAGCCCGACACTCGGGCCATTTTGTCACAAATGAAAATGGCTTCAGAAGGGGAAGACTGGAAAGCCAGAAGGGAAGTAGGGAATGGAGGGAAGAAATATGAAGGAAAAGAAGCTACTGTGAAGAACTGCAGAACAAGTGGAAGATCTTGAGCTCTCCAGGTGTACACTCACATTATTACAGATATTCAAACAGAATATAACACAAAGACAACCTCAGTAAATATCATTTTAAATTATAATCCCATTTAGTGAATGAAAAAGGTCATCCAACAGGACCTGTGTAAAAAAAAGTAACTGCCCTTTTAGTTATTCAATAAACCAATTGACCAAATTAAGTTGATTGTTGGGATCAATTAGACACACCCAAGCTTGATTACATCCAGCCCTTTTGAATTTAAATATCACTTTAAAAGAACCTTTCAACCAATATGAAGTAGGCTTAAAGGTCTCAGCACACTGTACCAGGAAGAAAAAAAAAAAGAAATTCTGAAAGAGATGAGAATGAAAGTTATTGAAATTTCAGGCTTTCAAAGCCATTTTAAGGCTTTGGGTCTCCAACAAACCACAGTGAGAGCCATTATGGAGAAAACTTAGAACAGTAGTACATCTTCCCAAAAGTGGCCAGCCTAGAAAAATTCCTTCAAAAGCACAGCAAAAACTTATGCAGGAAGTCACAAGAGAAACCAGACAAAGACTTTGCTCACCTCAGATATGGTCAGCATTCAGGCTAGACAAAAATGATAGCCATGTAAGGGTTACATGGTGAAAACCACTGCTAACTAAGACAAACATAAAGGCTCATCTCACATTTGTAAAAAAACGCCTTGATGCATTTGGAACAACATTGTGTGGACTGAGGAGTCAAAGGTG